GCAGCGGGGTCACGTACTGCAGCGGGGTCACGTACTGCAGCGTGGTCACGTTACTGCAGCCGGGTCACGTTACTGCAGCGGGGTCACGTACTGCAGCGTGGTCACGTTACTGCAGCGGGGTCACGTACAGCAGCGGGGTCACGTACTGCAGCGGGGTCACGTACAGCAGCGGGGTCACGTACTGCAGCGTGGTCACGTACTGCAGCGGGGTCACGTTACTGCAGCGTGGTCACGTACAGCAGCGTGGTCACGTACAGCAGCGGGGTCACGTACTGCAGCGGGGTCCGTTACTGCAGCCGGGTCACGTTACTGCAGCGGGGTCACGTACTGCAGCGTGGTCACGTTACTGCAGCGGGGTCACGTACAGCAGCGGGGTCACGTACTGCAGCGGGGTCACGTTGCTGCAGCGGGGTCACATTACTGCAGCGGGGTCACGTTACTGCAGCGGGGTCACGTGCTGCAGCGGGGTCACGTTGGGATAAACATTTTTCTGTTCGTCCCCGGTTGTTATACGTTGAAAAGTGGTATCAAGCCTTTCTGACGAGGCTTGATTTGAATGTGTTTACAAACTGCGACTGCATTGTATATATATTTATGAGGATAATATTACACCTGCGTTTTTTACAGATTATTTTTTTAGTTTGCTGTCTACAGTAAATGAAACACCAAAACCAAGTGTGGAATACTTCAAATGTTTCTACCCTCTTATTCTACAAATTGTTTTTAAAAAGACCCAAAAAAGACATTTAGTTCAAAGGACCTGTAGGGGCCCTTAATGTTGGCAAGATGAAGAATAGTTTCATTACTGTTTTTACTGTTTTTTACATTACTGTTACTGTTTTTCATAAACAGTGTGATTCCTTGGAATTAAACCGAATAAAATGAGAATGTAATGTGGACCTGTGTGAAATGTATCTGCTCTAACTACTTCTTGTCTCTGATTTTGTTCAGGTGTTCCCACACCAACAGAGGAGGTTCTGCACCACACACTGAGCATGCTGGTCCGTGAGCGGAAGATCTACCCAACACCAGACGGATATTTTATTGTAACCCCTCAGACTTACTTCATCACTCCGAGCCTAATCCGAACCAGCTCCAAGTGGTACCACTTAGACGAACGTTCTGCTGACCGACACCAGCAGCAGCATCAGAACCAACAGCAGCATCAGCAGACGCAGTGCACCTCCCCTCTCTCTGGCACCATAACCCCGTCCACCTCTGGAGCCGTGCGCGATCGAACACACCCAAAGTCCAGCCAAAACCACAGTGGAGGAGGTGGGGATTCTTTTTACAACAACAGTTACCGTGGAGACGACCCCCCTAGCCACCACACCACCCTGCAGCGTCGATCTCCCAAAGACCACCGGGAGGCGTACTCGTCCCCGCACTCCCCACAAACACCTCCTCAGCAAGCAGCAGGCAACACAGAAAAGAGTCGCAGCACCCTTGGGTTCCCCTTCAAGACGGACACGCTTACCAAACACCGAAGTGGGGGAGGAGGGGGGGGAACTGGAGAGGTAGAGAAACAGGCAGGTGGAGGAAGTGGTACAGGAAGTCGGAAATTTGGTTTGAAGCTGTTCCGTCTGAGCTTTAAGAAGGACAAGACCAAGCAGCTGGCCACCTTCTCTGCACAGTTCCCCCCAGAGGAGTGGCCGCTCCGCGACGAGGAGGCACCCAGCCAGCTGCCACGCAATGTAGAGATGGAGATCATCCGCCGAATCAACCCTGACCTCACTGTGGAGAACCTCGCCCGGCACACAGCGGTCATGAAGCGCCTCGAAGAAGAGCGTGCGCAGAGGAGCAAAGCGTCATCAGCCAATCAGAGCTCCAGGAGTAGGAGAAGCGGGGGTAGACACAGGAAGCAGTCTCAGACCAAACTCAGCCGCTCGCATAGCAAGACGAGAGCGCCCCGCGGCGAGCCCGCCGATGGTTCCCACCTGGAGCTGGCCGACAGGGACTACAGAGCCTACTCGTCCTCACTGGCTCGGTCACCGAGGGAACATGCCCTGGCCATGGAGAGGCAACGGGCCCGCCTTCACCTGGCACATAGCAACCCCAACATCCTCGACTCTTCCCACCTGCCTGTCACGCCAGAGTGGGATGTGTCCGGAGAGCTTGCCAAGCGGCGCACAGAAATGCCTTTCCCCGAGCCAAGCCATGGCCCATCAGCCCACCACTCCAAAGTCCACCGCTCACACTCCCACACCCAGGAGAGGAAGTCCAGGAACGAGCGCAGCGACAAGGCAAAGGAACGCTCCAGGTCCATGGACAATTCCAAAGGACCACTTGGAGCTGGGATTATTGGACCACCTGATTATTACGACGACCGGAGCCGTTACTATACTGACGATGGCACCCTGCGAGCCAATCAGAGCTCTTCTCACTACTCTCGTGCCACCCCTCCTTCAGCTAAACTGCCTGTGGATTCTCTGGGGTTGGATAGCGGCAGGAGTTTAGAGAAGAGTAAGAGCAGGGACAGCCTGCCGGCATACTCGCCCAAACCACTACCCATCGCCGTCCCTCCTGATGATTACTTCCAATGCGCTGGCTCCTCTGAGGCTGCTCTCACAGCAGCTAACCCGCTGGGAACTCTAGGCAAAAGTAGCCATGAGGGATTAAAACTAGGCAGCGCCGACAGACAGACACCCCATCCTCTAGAAAGTAAGGAGGACTTGTCAAAGGTGGGACCTAAGGGTGGCAGCCTGCCTCCAATACCCCTGTCTATCCCTGACCCCCCCCTTCCTAATGGAAGACCTCCCCACAGTGGCTCCTCTGGTCAGGAGAAACGTAAGGAGATCTTTAGTAAAGACACACTCTTCAAACCTCTTCCCAGCCTCCCTTTGCCAGGCTACAGCTCCCTGAGAAAACCCCCAGCCCTCACCTCCTCTCCTCTGTCCTCATCCTGCGATGCACTTGATTCCCAGGAGGCCTTTGATGCTCCCAAACCTCTGGTGGCCACACCGTCCATTCCCCAACAGGGCATTGAACCCACTACCAGTGCTGCAGAGGCCTCCTTTGACTACTACAACGTCTCAGACGACGATGAACTGGAGGAGGGGGGGAACAAAAGTCGAGGAGAGGACGAAAAGGCTGGAGGAGGTGTCGGGATGGGTGGAGGTGGAGCAGGGACCATGCAGTGGCTATTGGAGCGAGAGAAGGAGAGGGATCTACAGAGGAGGTTTGAAAGAACCCTCACCTTCCCTGGTGCTAAAGAGAACCTTCCAGAGCCCAGTCAGAACCAGCAGTCAGCCCACTCTGCTAGACTTGACAGTATGGACTCCAGCTCCGTCACTGTTGACAGTGGATTCAACTCACCACGGTGAGAACATGTATTTACACACTGCATGCATACAATATAGGCATATTTACAACTCTCATTTTCCATTTATCTGATGCAATGGCCTGCATTGTTGAATAGCAAAACGTTTCCACTCATTTCTCTTCAGAGGCAAGCTGATTGTTTTGTAGCCTCACTGGCACACCAGAAAGGAGAGATTGCAAGAACAAATCATGTCCTTCTTTGTGATGTTGTGAAACAAGTATTATCCGTAGTTTTTCAGTATATGTATACAACGATCCACAGGCTGACGTGTATAGAAGTGTGTACAGTATCTGGATGAGTCATCAGAATAAGCTGTCACACCTGTGTCTTAAGTTAGCATTTAATGGGATTCATTTACTGAATCAGAATTCCTTATTAAATCCAAAGAGCATGGAGTAGAAGCACTGCTGGGTCCTCATCACACTGGCGCTCTTTGGATCCTTCAGGTTAACTCTGCTTCATTCATCTTGTGAAGGGCTCATTGCATGGGGGAAATTCATTATGGTCTCAAAAAAGTACAACTTGACAGGTCTGATAAGTGATTCTGGATCCCAAATGGAACCAGCTATCTGAACCCAAGCCTACCATTTTCTTTAACAAACCATATAGTAAATAATATATTTTGGCTCTGCAGCTGCTGACATAGTGGTAAAAAACGAATAAGTAGTTATTGTTGTCGGCCCTGAAATTCCATATTGTTGCATCTTTGATTTTTGTGGCTGATACCAATACAAAAGCCACTAAAATGTGAAGATGGCATTAGACATTTCTAGTATTTTTTTAATACAGCACCAGTGTTCAGAGAGCCTCCACCACGTCTAGAATAAAGAACGCGCCCCCCATGCTCTCAGCTCTGATCCTGGATGTGTTTTTGAACCAGACACTGGTACAACTCCACTACTGCTGTGACCAGAAGAGACGCTCTGTGGAAGAGCTGAACTGTGACCAGGACACACTCCTGTGTTGTTTGGAAATCTGACATTTTCACATGACAGATGATGAACAAAGGCATTCAAGTGTGAGTGTAGCTGTTGTAAGAGTTGAGTGTGGGGCAGCAGCAGACTGACTCATATTTATCAAAATTCAAAGTCAGTCAGTCAGTAATGTTATTGAGCATGTATATGAATAAATAAATAAAACCTTTAGGGAAGAACAAGCAGGAACCACAAGCTGAATTAAAGAAATAGAAAGGCAGACACATTGTGATGTGTGGATGTGCATAGAGAGTATTGTGGCCACTGTCAGAATGTAGCTCGAGTCATCCGTATCCTTGTTAATGCACATTCCTCTGTGATGTGAGTGTGTGGTCCTGCTGTCTGTTTCCTCTCGTTTGTCTCAACAGAAGCGGGAGCTTCAAGCACTTCATGTGGTGTTGTGGTTCTATCATTTCTCATTGTGTGTCACTGTCTCTCTGCAGAACAAGGGAGAGCCTAGCGTCTAACACCTCTTCCATAGTGGAGAGCAACCGTCGGCAGAACCTGGCGCTGAGCCCCGGCCACCTCGGCATCACCACCGGCACCGCCACCCCCTTCTCCTTCCGCGCCATCCCAGAACCTGCCGGCACCCAACCGGAGAAACTCCAGAAGCCCAGCGCTTGCCTTGCGTCAATCACCAGCGTCTAGGGGAGGAACTACTGTAAGAACTGGGTGGAGCCCCGGGAACCTATGGAGAGGGGCCAGAAAATAAAAGTCCCACCCCCAAGGACTGTTACATCTTTAGACTGACATCAGTGGAGCTGCCACAGGCCCACTGTGGAACTATAGCTATTAACACACACACACGAACAGAGAGAGACATTTAGACCACCAGGAAACTGCTCTGTCGCTCTCACACACACACACAGACATATACACACACACACACACACACAGACATATACACACCAGGCCACTGGGCAGACTCTGACCATGTCATTCTACAGCCTCTAGTTTACACACTGCTGTTGTGTTGTTTCACTATCACGTGGGTTCTAGTGTGTGTGTGTGTGAGTGCGTGTGTGTGTGTGTGGGTTATGTTTGTATAATCTGTAATCTCAGGTCATGTTATTTCCACTCTCATTCCAGCTGCTCCAGATCAGCACATCTCCCTCTAGTGGTGTCTGGTGGTACTACACACTGAAGAGACGCTGCTCTGCTGACTGCTGTTACTGACGGTACACACATTGTCACTGATCCAGCTCCTACTCACTTGTATCTGTTAGCTCTTCTCTAAATTCACCACCGGCAGACACCTTGTAAGGTGCAGTGCCACAAGAAATGACAATTAATGACCATCTGTCCAAAGTGCATCAACAAAGTGAGGGAGTTAGACGGTCCAATGAGTAACCTGTAACCAGGGCTGTTTTCACTAGAACACTCTGCAGAATGAAGCTGAGCAGTTCTTGTGTCTGCTGGATGCCATGATGCCCATTTGAACTGGCTGAACATTGTAGTGGCAGTTTCGACCATCTGCTGTCAGATATGTGGACAGCTCCAGGGATGAGACTTCTGATTCGACTCTTTCATGGGGGCAGATCTTCCTCCACTGTTCTCTCTTTTTAACGTTACCTCTCATGTCCACGGGATGCAGCTCATGGCTCTGTCATGGCTGCTCTTTTCTCCACAATAGGCAGTAACAGATACGTTGAGTACGATGGCCCCAGCAGATCAACACACTGCTCTTAAGGCCACAAGACGAGACTTTATTGATCCCTGGGGGGAGAGTCACACGACAGAAAACCAATTCTATTTGAAAGAAATATTCAAGAAATCAGAGAGGTGACAGTATACACATGCCTAACACATTATAAGTGAGTTTATATATACAGTGTATAAATGCCTATATTTATGACAGTCGACATGAAATTAATATTTAATGACATGCTGCATTTTGTTATTGACTTTGTCTTTATGTACATATAGAATAACTACTTTTCTTGTTTGTTGAGAGTCACTTCACAGCCGTGTTCAGATATGAGATGTTGAGGTCCTGCCGATGATGTCACAGCCTGTAACATGTACATGTAAACGTATTCATACTGACTGCTGAGGTAGCTCATTTCACATGACATAATAACATGTCCACTATGTCCGTCACAATACTAAGCATTCCTTTTAATAATCCGAGCTGAGATTGATGGATGTTAGTGATGAATAGCAGGGTGGTGGTGGAGGCCATTCTTAGAGTTTAACTTGCAGCTCTGCAGAGATCATTTCATAAACTATGGCTTTCATACTTCTAGAAGATCACTGTTGACATGAGACAGCGCTGGATTTGATCCAGACTGCTCATCTAGTTACTTCGGTCCTTATTCATCAGAACTTAATCAGTTCGGTTAATTGTTTTTCATTCAGTCGGGTTATGCTGACCAGCACACGGTCGCCATGCTCTGTTCTCATGAAGCCCACAGCACAATGCACGTCTGTTGAGACGTTAGCCACGTATGCTATGCAGGAAACAGACGAGGCTCATTGTGCAATGAACCGGAACACAAACTGACATGGACCAAGGGTGGAGATGTCATTATATTCATGATTTATTTATTCACTTGTATCAGCAGTGAGCTGACACACGTACACCTGAGGAGGAATAGAGCAGCCATCGCGTTCATGTAATTCCCTTTTGTTAACGCTCCTTAGAGCTCAGGTGAGACCTCAGGTGTCCAGAGGGTGGAGACCAGCTCCATGTAATGACTCATTCATGGAGGAGCTGTGAGGGAGCCATCGCCTTGCTTCTGCCCGACAGTATGAACCTCAGCGCAATGTGGCAACATCACAGCAGGACCTCGATATAAGACAGAAACAGAAGGAAAGATAAACAGCGTTAGAAACAAAGCCCCTTAATTCCAGAGCAGTGCAGACGAGATAAAGGTGTTACTGCTTGAGGACGTGACGCTGCGTCCTGTGGACATGAGGGGCTACAGTCGCATCCCTGTTGAGTTTCACAGCTAAGCTGTTAGCTGACTTCCTGTAGCCAGCAAACACCACTGTCTGTTTTCACTTTTAAATGAAATGCTGGCATCAGACAAAGTAGACGCTGCTGCAGGTGTACGGTCATTAGGAGCAGCTGTACTTGAGGTGGCTGAGCGTCCAGCAGAGAAAATGAGACATGAGGGGATTGAGACAACTCATCCAGACCAGTGTTATACACAACAAGCAGGGACGACACTTTGTTTTTTGGTTTCAGTATTTCTTTAGTTGCACACAACATTACCATGAATTCACATTTCTGTCAGGTTCATGGCTACTTGAGTATTTCTTCAAAAAGTTTGAGTCACATCCCTGAGCCACTCTCACTCCTGGTGCTACGATGTATTATGGCCAGTGACGGCCATGATAATAGTCATAATAAAAAGGTGATGAGAGAGTTGGAATATAGTAAATGGATGCTTACAATTGTATAATAGGTTTCACCTGCATACGTTTGGCTATGACCATTTAGTCCCTTCTATGAAGCATGCGGGTGAACAGGACTGGGATCACACAGTGACGGACAGACGCTGACTATGGCACAGGAACGCGTGGAATAAGACCGCTCTCAACATGTGTCGGTCTCATTGTAACCAGACCTGAGCTGAGCTGGATTTACCCATCTCGAAAAAACCTGCAGTCCTATAGGCCAATCATTTCCCATCCCTCTATAGGCTCAGGGAGCTGTCAGTCATCCCAGTGTTGTCGTCCAATAGGCTCCTCTACAACTACCTCCACAGCAGCAAAAACACAGCCCGTCCTTTCTACTATCTCACTGTCATCAGCCTCTAGCCTGTGAATGTCTGCACACACTCGCACACACACACATATACGCACTAACACACTACACATCAAAGTGCTGGACTCCCTATTGTTTTCCTTTCTTCACTAACAAGGTTCTTCTCATGGTACACGATAGCATTGTGGTTCAGCTGCTAACCCCCGCAGCCCAAACACACTCCTGATCCTCCTCCTCCTTCTGCTGCTCCTCCTCCTCATCCTGCTGCTGCTGCTCCTCCTCCTCCTCCTGATCCTCCTCCTCCTTCTGCTACTGCTCCTCCTCCTCATCCTCCTCCTCCTCCTGATCCTCCTCCTCCTTCTGCTACTGCTCCTCCTCCTCATCCTGCTGCTGCTCCTCCTCCTGATCCCCCTCCTCCTTCTGCTCCTCCTCCTCATCCTCCTCCTGATCCTCCTCCTCCTTCTGCTGCTCCTCCTCCTCATCCTACTGCTGCTGCTCCTCCTCCTCCTCCTGATCCTCCTCCTCCTTCTGCTACTGCTCCTCCTCCTCCTCCTGATCCTCCTTCTGCTACTGCTCCTCCTCCTCCTCATCATCATCATCATCATCATCATCCTCCTCCTCCTGATCATCCTTCTGCTACTGCTCCTCCTCATCCTGCTGCTGCTGCTCCTCCTCCTGCTCCTCCTCCTCCTGATCCTCCTCCTACTTCTGCTGCTGCTGCTGCTCCTCCTCCTCATCCTGCTGCTGCTCCTCATCCTGCTGCTCCTCGTCCTCCTGCTCATCCTCCTCCTCCTGCTCCTCCTCCTGATCCTCCTCCTCCTTCTGCTGCTCCTCCTCCCCCTCCTCCTCCTCCTCCTGCTGCTCCTCATCCTCCTCCTCCTGCTGCTCCTCATCCCGTTCTCTAGTGGTACCTGACTTCCTGTGCAGTGAACCTCTTTCCTGATCCCAGTGAGGGACTTAAACCCAAATAGTGTTGTCACAATATCCTGACATCCAGCTATGCAAGCTAGCCCGCTGTGACCCGACACAAAGAAGAGAACCTCCCATTCAGTGAGGATATGCACACTGTAGGACTCATACATTTTGTTCAGACATGAGCTGCAGATGAAATGTACATCACATGGACCCTCATAGGTACGTGTTAAGTCTAAATTAGCCTTGAGGGGCTCACAATGCTTGAAACAAACTAGTTGATCCAGTGTGACGTCTTCTACCTGTTCCCCAGTGTGCTCTCATTTACCTTACTGGAAACAATATCTGTAGAGTTTGTAGCCAAGCACTTCATTTGAAGTGTGCTGGCCATTTAAGTGTGCCTCAGTAAAAGATACAAGTGTAGCTGCTTTTAGTTAAACAGTGGTGTATATCAGGATACGTGTCGCTCTCACCTCGAGTTAGTTTGCCCGCTGTATGGTAGGACCTAATGAATTAAAACAAATCGATTTATTTTCATGTATCTCGTGGAGCTCAATGTGAGGTGCTCAGTTCCTTCTGCCCAGCTGTCCTTGTCACAGCTAACTCTACTGTTGGTCTGGGCGACCAGTAACCCTCACTGGCTTCCCACCTGCAAACACATTGTGTTTGTGGGAATCGAACCCCTGAAATGGTAGACTGGAACTTGAACTCTTCGCCGCCATGTGCTGAGAACAAATGGAACAAACACCTCTTCCATGAAACTCCTTTCATCCCTGTAACATTCGGTCTTACTCTGCATCTTGCCACTACAAAGGGGTACAACCTCATGTCCTACCACTACAGGTAAACGCTTCAGCTCTGTACCAGGGAACTGCTTTATAGTCTCCCCCTAAAGGACTGATGCTGGTGTTCTACAGACATGGTCACTAATCTATCAATACCTGATGATTCTAATCTCTATTCCACAGTTGAGAGAGATTTATAGTCGTCAGTATTCTCTACAATGTCAGCAGTGTTCTAATACCACTGAAGGGTTTTAGTCCCTCTTCTGTCCATACTCTGGAGTATATGTATCCGTAATAAGGTTTTTGTCACTGCTCTTACCCAACAGTAAGCTTCCAATCAATTACAGTAGTGCTTTACTTTAATTGGACTAGAATTGGATTCTAGTCCAATTCTACCTCTACAGTAGGGTTTGTAGTGCCGTCTGTTCCCACATAGTTTAGCCTTATCTAT